GGGGGTAGGTGCCCAAATGAACCAATGTCGACATTCGGGGCCAATATCTAAAGAACCTTGCCCATTTAAAAGATATTTGTCAAATAGTGTAATATCTTGATGGTTTAAAATAATCCAGTATATTCAACCACAAAGGCAACCGATTTAGCCACTTCAGCTATTTATGCTGTTAGTTGTGAGTGTTCATGCAACTGTGTCCATTACCTACTATGCAGTACTTTTTTTCTTCTTACAGTGAATGCAAATTATTTGTTCTTCTTTGCTTCCATCATTCACAAACTTACTGATCTATCAAAGTACTCCTGTAAATGTTAATTACCTCTTCTAGTGTGTGTTATGAACCACCTCCTTGATACATTTGCTAAAAGTCTCCTTTGGTCTCCAGTGCCATCTTACTCGGGTAAATTGTTGATTGCAATTACACCATTTTATGGCCCTTTTTAGATTCTAGTACATCATTTGCATGTTTATGTTGACCTACTATATGGGATAAAAGTCTTGGTTTTCTGTGCTTTATCAATATAACAGATGCTTCGGAGATATTATATGCTGAAGGGAGACTACTTATTGCAATTATATGCTAAAGAGAAACTACTTATTGAGAAATAATAATGCCATTCTTGAATGAAGATATTAGATCTTGTGCATATTTTTTATTATTTACGAGGTGTTTTGAGTCTTTTGCACTTTTACTATGCTGTAACACATTGTATCATTATATGTCTAAGTTACAGGATTGTTGAATTCTCTGGTATCTAATTGAGCAGATTTGGTTTATGTTCCTCATATTTATCGTAATTAGTAACATTGTAGGTTTCATCCTTCCTGTATGGGCATGTCCATTGATGAAATAAAAAAGTTGGAGCATTTTGTGTGCTCGGACTGCTCCGGTGAAGAGGAGGCTAAAGAACAAATGAATTCATTTCATGTATCACCTGAGGTCAGTGCAGTCTTTCATTTTTTTAACATCAATTTTCTTTTGAGATTTGGAAAACTTTTAGGACCAAATCTCAGTTTCATTCGTGAAACAATTCTAGTTTTAGATTTTTCATATTATACTCTGTAATAGTTTCTCACACCTTTAGCAAATATATGCATAAAATTTCAATTATACTATTACGTCTTCTAGTGGTGGCGGCGGGGGCATACGTACATAACATTTCAATTTTTTTACCTTATTACAAAAAATTAGTAGGAGGCATATGCCCCCAACTACATCAATATGCGTCTGCCCTGGCCACCACCACTACTACGACTAGTACGACTACTACTACTACCACCTTCACGTGGGTGATCAAACATTTGACATATGATTGTCACCCACAGGAGGAAATACTTTGGTGTCAAACGGAGCATCATAGGACCCTCAAATAAACAAGTGTCATAATATGACATCTAAAACAGGGGTCAAAAGAACCTTTTAGTGTTAATCAATGTAATACACTTCATCATCACCTACCTCACCATAAGTTTCATCATCGTCTTGGTGCTAGGCGGAGAGGAAACGCAGAAAGAGAAGTGGCTGAGCTTTGTGCAGCTGTGTGGCTTGGAAAAGATCAGTATGTATTGTGTGTGTGCTGCAAACTGTACAGTGCTGATCAATGTTGGCCTTTTCAACAGACTATGAAAGGTGACTGTCCTCTACCCCCCCCCCTCCCCTCCTGTAATTGTGTGTGTTTTGTTGTGTAAATTGAATGAGATATTAAGTCGATAACACTCTCGACGTTTCTTTTGGCCATTTTCCAGTCATTTTCGGTCTTTCGAAATACATTTGGAGGAAAAAAAACAGAAACTTACTGACGAAGTGTATGAAATCATGAGTGGAAAACACTAAGATATGCAAATTTTATGGGTTTACTTTCATACTCATTTTAAACATGTCATTTCACCTCCATTAAAACCATGTTTTTTAACTCGAATTTTTTGAATTCGAAGCGAGTTTGACTGAAAATCAGTTGTAGTTTAAAGTATAAGGTGTTGAATAGAGCTTAGACTAAACTGTGAACTAAAAGTTAAAAATGAACAAACATTTTTATAAAATTTGATTGTTCTCGTCCATTGATGTTTTGTAGTTTATGATTTATAAAGCTTATATTGTACTAAAATGAAAAAGTAATGCATCCATGAATGGAATTTATGGGGTAAATTGAGTGCGCCGGTGGGTGTTGCGCAGTTGGCAATGACAAGAAGTGTCAAGGAGGTAAGACCCGAGTTCGATTCTTGAAAACTGTGCTGAGAGACAACTATGCTAAGCATAGGGTCTCTACTAGTGCCGTGTGCAGGCTCCACTCTTTACTATCAATCTATGATCAAAGTCTAATTTACATCTTCTCAGTCGGTCTGACCGGTTCTGAGTGGGCTCTCAGGGATGAGATTCATCCCTTTTTATGGGAAAAATCGAGTAATTCAACCCACTATCTTACCGATTAATTCAACCCACTATCTTACCGATCTGATTCTATTATACCACAATATGTACCGCATTGTATGCAATTGCATCTAAATCGTTGAGACCGTCTGAAAAAATCAATTTAACTAAAACTTAACTTCAAGTTTGTGGTCGTATGCTTAAAAAAAGTTTTATAGTCCAACGATGGTAAACATTTGCCTCAAATTTACCCTTGATCTAAGTACTATCTAACATCGTTGTGATATTAGAATTTTCATGCTTGACCATGTACATATTAAATCATCTCAGTTCTAATTTAAATCAATTATTGCTGTTTACAAGGTTTGATTGAGATTTTTTTAATTGAATTTATTTGCAAATTGGTATGAAAGTAAAATGAAATTTATACGGAGTATATTTAAAAACTACATAAAAATTTTACAAAATAAGAGGTGATAAGCCTATCATTTTATCAAGTCAGCGGTGAAAATGAATAAAGAACATGATTGAAGTTTGACTACGTGAATAATAAACATATTGCTTAAATTTAGGCAGAGACATAGTAAAAAAAATACTTCCTCCGTCTTTAAAATGTTCATGTTTTATTTTTGTGCATCTCATAAAGCACTTCTAATAAACCTTCCCGAAGCTTTTGTAACAAATTTGTCATTCGTTTCAAAGCATTAACACTATGTTTGGTTCAAGGAATTTTGAAGGAAAAGAAAAGAAAATGGTTTTTTCTCATTTTCCTCACCAAAATGGGAAGAATTTGGTTTTCCCTCTACTTGGTACATTTTGCCTTCTCATTCTCTTTTCCTTCCACTTTTCCTTTCTAACCAAACAAGAAAACTTGTTTTCCACTTCATTTTCTTTTCTTTTCTCTTTTGAATTCCTTGAACCAAACATAGTGTAAAGAAAATTAAGACAAACAAAAAAGGAAATTTGATGCATTCATTTGACTATTAATATGATTTTCTCTTGCTTCATACTCATATTATAATACACTTTACAGAAGCGAAAAAATAGAGTGACTTTCAGTGCATATAGTAATTTCACACTGTGTTAGAATGGTGGTGCCTTTGCTAATTATCTTGTTCTTAAATGGAGGCAATAGATGAAGTATTGTTGTTATTCAAGAAACTTAACTTTGCAAAAACCGCGACTAGGGGCGCGGTGTTGTACGTGCACGCCTCCATCTGCATATAATTATCTCTGCTGTCGTCGAACTCGTCGTTCCGGTCGGGCCCCCCGACCAACGCCCCATAAAGAACATTGGGGTTCGGCGCGTCCCTACCGTACCAGTCATCGTACCCCTGGGTGCACCCTATGAACCTGGGGTCGTCCTTGTAGGACACAATGGAGGACCCTCTATGGTGCACCCTCCTGGGGTAGTTTGGGCCGAAGCCCACGAGATAGCTCATGTTCCTCGGGTTCGACCCGAGTATGTAGTCCGCCTGGGACTTGGCGAACCCGAGGAGCTCTGCATGGTCGACCGCCTCTTCTCCGGCGGGGCAGTTTAGGGTTCCGCCGGAGTTTCTGAGGTAGTCGGAGTGTAGCGCGAGGAGGAATGCCGCCAGCGACACGTGCTGCATGTTGTTCCATGGCCGGACGAAGATGAGGCCCGCCGGAGTGCGCCCGACGTTGTTGCCGGCGGTGTTTTTGTTGAGGCATGAACATATGTAGTGCTCGGCTTTTCTGCGGTACTCTTCCAAGATGCCTTTGTGCTTCCTAAGCTTTTCTTCTTGAAGCATCTGTTTTTTTAAATCATGGTTAAAATAATTCTAAAAATAATTATTCCAATAGGGATACCTATAACCTATGTACTCAACTCATAAAATTGATGATTTCTATATCAAATTTCACACCTAATTTGGAGAATTTGTTGCCAAAAATTTGGAGAAAGCATACAGCAGAGTGACATTAATCTTTTTTGGGTCTATGAGAGGTCCAAAGAACATCTCACGTGGTTATAGAAAGAATGACATGTCAAATCCATGGGGTGACAAAGTAAAAATATTTTACTCTCACCCTAAAAACTTGAATTTAATACAGAGTTGGTGTAACTTAGCTCATTGAGCAAAGAGTATCAAGAAGGTAAACTCAAGTTTGATTCTCGATAACTACGCATATAGTCTTTGTAAGTGCAAGATGCAGACTCGAGCCTTTGTCATGGCTCAAATTTACTTCTCTCAAGTGACTTTTGGATGTGTGACTCATTCATTTTTATTAAGAAATTTATTTAAGAAGTAAAAAAAACATAATACCCCGTGTATCATATACTCATTCCACTTTAAAATTATCATCTTTTTAATTTCATTAAAATTAAAGTAAAGAATTTTTTAAAGGTCGAACCTCAAAATGTGTTAAAAAGTCAGTGAGTGCTGCACAATTAACAAAAGCAAAGAGTGTCTAGTAAGTAAGATTCAAGTTCGATTCCTAAAAATTGCATTGAGAGACAAACATACCAAACATAAAACCTCACAAATATCAAGTACAAACTTCGCTCTTTGCTAAGAGAGCCTTCACTAATGGGGTTCATCTTTTTTTTCCAGAAAAAGTAATACTCCCTCCATCCCTATTTGTTTGCCACATTCAAGTTGAAACAAAATATAAAAATTTTTTAATTCATTTTATTTAAGTATTGGTATAGAAATAAAAAATAAAATTTACATATCTAAAAACTACATGAAAAGTTTTTCAAAATAAGAAGTGTCAGAAATATTTTATTTTATCAAATAACCAATGAAAACATACTAATAACCAAAGAAAATGTACTCCCTCCGTCCTATGATTTTCTTCCCGGTTCATTTTACGAAGTTTGACCGACTTTATTTTCAATTCAATTTATTTGATTGTAGATATAAAATTAAAAAATAAAATTTATATATTTAAAAACTACATCAAAAGCTTTACAAAACAAGTGGTGACAAGACTATATTATTTTATCAAAAACCTAATGAAAATAAGTAAAGAAAGTGATTAAAGTTTGATCGTATAAAAAGTGGGTGAGAAGAAGCGAGTAACATTCTTTAGGGACGGAGTCGAAAGCACGTGGCTGGATGCGAAGCCATCCACTTTATAATACCGACGACCAATTGAGAATCAATACCTTGTGTGTCATTATTATGATTTCGGCTCCGTCACCCCCATGTTACCCTTCAACTCTCTACTGTGCTTCCTATGAGACCACCTACTCACTCCATACCTCACTCATTTTGATTGTTTGGCTTCATATCATTTTTTTAAGAAAAAAAATGAGTAAAAAGTGAATGAAAGAAAAAAGTGAAGAAATAAATACCACATTTACTTTATTTTATTATGAAAATAATTTATTTATTTATTTTTGGAATAATTCAAATAAAAAAAAATAGGCGTTTCGAGGGAAGGGGCAATGCATGCATACCAAAATGTGGGAGGCGAGGATTTGAAGACCGGCGTATTTGATATCCCAAGTGAACTCGGAGATGGCCCAAGTGGTGCCTCCAAAGGGGGCAGCGTTGTGGACCGCGTAGCGGAGGTACTCTTCGTCCTCGGTGGCCCGGTACAGCCAGAGCGCGGCCCACAACAACTCGTCCTTGTACCCGCTAATTGACGCGTAGTAGCTCTTCGCCACTCCGATGCTGTTGTCGTACGTGCCCCTGTGCTTCTCCCCAAACTCAAATAGCTGCGACAACCGAATAATACTCGATTAAAAGTCAGACTAATTTTGAATTGTAGTGGGATTTCTGTGTGGAATGGATTTAGGTCTCGTGTGGTATGCGGAATTGACGGAATTGGAATCGAAATTCCATGAGATTCAATTCCATAGAATTGAATCCTGTTAATTCCAATTCATTTTTTACACTATCAATTCCAAATTTACACAATTTTTGTACTACCAAACATCAGAATTAGAATTGAAGTTCTCAATTCTAATTCCATAGTTTGAATTTCATGTACCAAATGGGACTTACACTATGTTTGGTTCAAGGAATTTGAATGAGAAAGGAAAAGAAAATGGAATGGAAAACGGTTTTTCATGTTTGGTTGGAGAGAAAAATGGAAGGAAAAGAAAATGAGAAGACAAATGTACTAATTGGAAGGAAAACCAAATTCCTCCCATTTTGGTGAGGAAAATGAGAAAAAATCATTTTCTTTTCTTTTCCTTCCAAAATCCTTGAACCAAACATAGTGTTAGGGTTTATTTGGTATACAGAATTGACGGAATTGTAATTGAATTGGAATTGAAATTGCATTAGATTAAATTCCATAGAATTAAATTCTACCAATTTCAATTTATTTTTTACACTATCAATTATAAATCCACATGAATTTTGTACTACCAAACACAAGAATTGGAATTGAAATCCTCAATTCTAATTCTATTATTTGAATTCCATATACCAAACAGGCCTCAGTGTTTTTAGTTGGAAAGTTTATTGCAAATGGAGCTCTTTTTTTAACTTTAAATTTCAATTTGTATTGAACTTTATTAAGGATTACGACCTTAAGTCATTTAAGTCAATTTTAATTAATTTATTTGCACAAAGGCAAATATTTTCCTCAACGAAGCAAAGAGTCGGTGGACATTCGTACGACTCCTTAGTTTCCATCATATATAGGTTGGCAAAACTTGTTGAAATTTAGGATGAATGGAATAATAGACACTTCAACTTAATTTAATTCAATCAATTAATTAATCTAATTCAATACACTATAAACTTAGACATGGGTCATGCTAGTGTGTCATCACATGTGTACTACCATGGATGCACTCATGCTTTACCCATGTTTTACCCATGATTCACACCGACAAACACCCAGTATTATTTATCTAAATAATACTAAAACATAGACACTTTGATATAATACTATATATTTTTATTTTTGTACACTGATCATTGTTCAAGTAAATATAAACTTGCTACTAGATATTGTTGAAATTAAATATCTGTCATCACTAGATACTATTTCTACTACTAGAAATTATTTAAGTATTATTTAAAAAATAAAAATGTTTATATACTACATTAGGAAATAACATATATTTTAATAAATATTTATTGCAAATTTCACGTATTAAAAAAAGAGTGGTTTTTTACCCGACAAATAAAGTATTTTCCTTAAGTTTCAACCATTCAATCAATTTTACACCAAATAAATAATTGAATGATGTGATCCGCCAACACATTTTATGCATTTTTTTATTCATTTTTTTGTAATTCAATTTTTGGGGGAAAGATGATAAAATTTGAAATTGGGCTATCAAACCGATACCTGCTGGGCATGGTGCAATAAAAGGTGGGAGTAATGCGGGTTGCTTTTCCGGAAGACGATGGAGGCGGCGGCCATGGCCGCCGCCGTTTCTCCGGCGAGATCCGACCCGGGATTATTCTCGTCGATCTTGAACGCCCGCCGGGATGTCGTCATGTCCTCCGCCCTCTGCCAGCAGTAATGATCACTGTCTCCGTCCCCCACCTAAAAATTATTTTTAAAAAAAAATTGTTAAAAAATAAAAATTTTTTAAAAATCGAAACCAGAAGAAATTTTAAATTTTAAATTAAAATTAAAAAAATAAAACCTCGGCCCATAACACATTGGGACTAGTATGAGCTTTGATGAAGTAATCGGTGCCCCATTTGATGGCCTCGAGCGCGTGCTCCCACTCGCCAGCACCCGCGATTTCCGCGCCGTACTCGATCGCGCCCCACGACAGAATCGTGACGGTGAACGCCATCGGCAGGCCGAACTTGACGTTGTCCCCGGCGTCGTAGTATCCGCCGACGAGGTCCACCTCCTGCTCCAGGCCGTCGGTGAGGCCGGAGTGGTGGCGCCACGTCACTCTCTGGTTGTACGGTAGCCGCCCCGACCTCTGCGCCTCGAAGTAGAGGAGAGACTTGGAGAGCGCGTCGGCGTAGTCGAATTCCGGCGCGCCGGCGGCGAGACAGGGGATGAGAAATAGGAAGGCCGGGATAATGGTTTTGAGTGGGATTTTCATCTTCACCTTGTTCTTCGTTGTGGTCGCCATTGCCGAAAAAATGGAGGGGAAGGAGTAAAGGTGAGAAGAGAAAGCAGGGGAATGGGAAGATGGAGGGATTGTTTGTTGGTTTCATTTTCGTAGGGAGTTTATTATTACTCCGTATTAAGCGACATTTTGGTAACATTGAGAGGTATTGTTGTGACATTGTATGTGAGATTAATTTTTTTTCTTTAAATAGATGGTTTCCTCTCTCCCAAATTTAGTGAAAACTCATTTGCAATATTTTGAAAATGGGACAAGGCCTTAAATCACAAAAAGTAATTGGGTCAAGAGTTAATATGTTTGAATCAAACATGAAACTATAAAAAAGTGGGATCGCATAGAGTCCTTAACATTTTAGGGCATCAAAAGAAAGTTAAATTATCGAATGTCACTCTGCACTATTTAAACTTTACTTACGGGGCATCGAAAGAAAGTTAAATTCTGATGCATTTTTTTAGATTCTAAAAATCTGTAGATTCTGATGACGAGTGTTCATCATTTACCACTTCTAGAGCCTGGGTTGTACTAAAAATGAAGGATAAAATCAGCCGGGAGTGGCTTGGAAGTGTGGGGGACAACTTGGGCGGAGATCTTTAATTTTTTAATCAAGTATTGTACTTCTTCCGTCCCCCATATATTTTTCCAGTAGCCTTTTTTCTTTGTCCACAATAGATCTTCTCATTTCATTTTTTAACAATTAAAATACCACAACTACCTCCACTTACTTTATTTATTACACTTCACCCACCTTATTTAATACACTCCACCCATTTTTCATTAAGGGTATTATGGTAAACTTTCACCTTTTTTCAACTCTCCTTAAAAACTACCAAAAGTCAAAATGAGAACATCTTAGGGGGCGGAGGGAGAAGTTATTTTTTTATTTTCAATCAAGTACTTGCATTGTTTACCATCTATCGCTCTTATTTGTTTTTTTTGTATTATGTCAATGCAATTATAAATTTTAATTAAATATTTATTTAATGTTTGAATTTTAAATAATGATAAGAAAGAGAAAAACGGATCGGACATGATGCTGAGTTAGATTGCGTAATAGACGTGATAGTATTAGGGGTGGACTAGAATCTCCAACCTGTTGTCCCGACCTGAAATATCCTGGTCTCGTCCCTATAATATTCCGTAGATAGGGACGTGACCAGGACACATCAATATGACTCATTCACCTGAGACATGACCAGGACACATCAATATTTTCTCGTTCCGTCACATTGTCCCGTAGATATGTATATATCTATTTATTTGTTTATATAATGATATAACACAAAAAAGTATCACAGCTTTTGTTTTTTTCAACATAGATATAAACAAATACTTGATGGGGAATAACCCCACGTCATCATAGGGCTGACATCAGCATGAATTTCCTAAATATCGGGTTTGGACGTTCCTGCCCGGCCCAGAGCTCTACTCGTCTTCCTGCCCGGCTCAGAGCTCCGCTCGTCTTTCTGCCCGGATCTGCGCTCCGCTCGTCCCTCCTGCTCAGCTCGGCCAACCAAGCGGAGCCCGAACCCCGCGACAACGACGTGAGGAAAGCGACGTTCAACGAAGACGTGATGAAAGCGATAGGATGAAAGGGACAAGACCTAAGGACAGGTGACGTCCGCTAAACGACGAGCCTCGATCAGAGGGCTTTGACTTAGTGTATTGTACCCCCTATAAAAGGGGTGGCACCCCTCATTGTAATGGACCGATTTTGAAATCAATATACTCCCACTTTGCATTCTCTCTCTCTCTCTCTAGAACTTAATATTTTATTATTCTCGGTGGTTTATAGCCATCAATACTTAAATTCAAATAGTCGACAAGAATTGTTTAGGACCAAAACATCTAAAATTCCATAATGTTTTGACCGGTCGCACCTTAGTTCGTGGCTCATACTTTTATGAAGTGTATAGTTTCGACTTTTGACATATGTTGTAGGATTTTTTCATGTTTCTTTATTGTTTTGGCTTTTCTTAGACATGATAAATAAATGTATCATTTTTTTATTATTTTACAAGTAAAAGTGGGTTTTCTCCCACATATGTACTATATTTTTTTATATTTAATTCTGGATAATGACAAAACAGGGCAACCAGAACCCATTCTATTTTATCTTGTTCCTGAATACTCCGTATTAAGGAACAAAGATGGATATGTTTGTGACCCAATTTTTTCTGAAGTGATTGAAAAAAACAAGACAAAACGCGGGACGATATAAAACTCGAACCGCGTCCGGATTTGCCACATGAGCTAACACGCCTACCACCTAACTAGCCTTAAGAGCATTGACAATGACAAATCAAAAATGAAATGTCACACGGTGACATGGATTATTTCAACCAATAAAAAGTAACCCAGTCACCGTGTGGCAAATGAGTGGAGTGTCGCAACATATAGTGGCAAGTCGTTGTTTTTGTCTATTTTTGCACTTTTTAATGATTTTTAATTATAAAAAATTATTTTAAAAATTTATTTTATTATTAAAATATGTTTAATTATTTTAAAAAATATTTTTTCAAAAATTAAAAATATTAAAAATATTTAAAAAAAATGAGAGAATCATGTCTTGCACATGGAATGAAAAGTGGGATGGAATGACCTGCTATGATTTGAGTGGAATTTGCTGACATAAGACCTGGCAAAAGCTTAATGCTCTAAAAAGAATCGATAATGAAAATGAAGCTGGCGAGAAGTTTCATCACTTCCGTTGGGCAATTGCAGGCGGCAGGCCATTGTTGACTCGCCGGAAATTGCAGCCATATTCTCCGTCATTCGTCTTAGGAATACTAAAAATGGCGGCAGGGGAGTCGATGAACGGCGGGATCAGCGCCGGAGCGAACGTAGAGGTTGGGGACGGCCATTTGGTGGAGATGTCTCTGTTGCCCGGTTCCGTACCAGCTGACCGTCTTCCTGATGCCGTGGCCTCATCTACGGACGCTTCAATTGCTATTTCCGATGATCAAGTTACTCCATTGCTCCCTAAACCAGAGAGGACTAAGATCAACATCTTCACTATCACGTACCCTAAGCGAAAGTCTAATAAGGTGGGTTTTCATACTTGTGTTTTTTGATGATATTCTTAATATACTCCTGGTATAACATTATATGATTGGAATGGCAATTTTCTTTTCATGCTTAAATCCTTCCATGGCGCCATAATTGGAGAATTTCTGGCATGATTTTATTGGAAGTTTTGGAACATAGTGTTTTAGGTTTGTTATTTGATATGCCTTGATGTGCTGGGTTTCGATGACTACATGTAAACATGTTACTATATTACAGAGTAATTTAAAACTTGAAAAAATATACTCCTTCCTCTCTAATTAATTTGCTCACTTTGACTTATTAAAAAATGTGAATAAAGGATATTGAGTAATGAAAAGTTAGTTGTTAGAATTATTTAGAAGAGAGAACTATTTTGAACCACATATGTTTTTTTCTAAAAAGGGAATGAGAAAACGTGAAAAGTTTTGTGGGACGGACACGAGACAATTGTTGCACACATGGCCAACAGCCAGTACTATATTTTAATCAAATGATCATAATTTCTTGGACTAAATGTTTTAGCTTCACGTTAATAACAGACTAAATATAAATTATGCATTAAACTTTCTTTGTTTCTTACTTTATACTTCGTATGAAGTTATTGGTAGCTAATGCATCCAAGTGCCTAACAGAAACAACCTTTCTATTTTTACAAGGGGTGAGGTTGCGAACATCTTGAACCTCCGACCCCAACTGAGGTTATATTCTTCTGTGTTTGCTGTTGTTGATCATAATATCCTGGGACAGTGTCCCAACAAAGAGACTTAGGAACCAATCTACCTGGTTGGAGATCCTTTGTTGTATGTCTAGCATAACAAGGGAAAGATTATATATTAACCAGTTAAAACTGACACATCTTCTATTAACCAGTAAAATCAAGAGTGCATCACCATGCCATCTTTTGAATTTTCAGAAATGATTTTTTTTAATTATATTAGTTTTGTGCTTTGCAGGAGCAAGTGGTAAGGTCAGAATCCGATATGTCGCCTTTTATGGAGTTTATAACATGGGCATGGAGCGGATCAAGGTACTCTGGACTACTATGTGTGACTTTATCATCTACAATCTACTGTACTATGGATTTTCTTTCTGATATCTTTTCAGGTCAGTGATTCTCAACCCATACACATATGAACAAACAGATATAAACGGTTATAATATGCTCAGTATCTTATCATAATATCATGGCTCTTCTATTTTGTTAGATAGCTGCAAAATATATTTGGCCTGTATCAACTCTATTTTTACTCAAATTTGTTGACTATATTGCATTTGATGTTAATACTTACAGGTCAATCAATTTCCCTTTTTGAAATGGCATTTACAAGGTGTACATTACTCTTGATTTTTTCTCTTGTGTGGTTGAAGAGAACCGGACAGCCAATATTTGGCCTGAAGAATGTCACTACACTTTTGGCTTTAAGAGCTATAGTTGGATATTTCTCATTATCAAGTTTCATTTACTGGTAAGAGGTGCATCTTGGAAAATACCCACCTATCCCCTCACCCAAATAATAATAATAATAATAATATGATGATGATGATGATGATGATGATGATGATGATGATGATGATGATGATTTATAAAAAAGGGGAAAATTGTGTATGCTATACATTATGTATATTCTCAATAAGGTTTATCAATGTGGGACATGATTTACTAATGACCATGAGACAGTCAATTCTTTCAGCATTCAAAGATTGCCATTGTCCCAGGCTGTTGTATTGAGTTTTACCACTCCAATCATGGCTGCAGTTGCCGCTCGGTTCATATTGCATGAAAAGATGAAAATGACTGAAATTGGAGGTATGTTTCTTTGTGTTATTGCAATCTATCATATATTCCAGTGTTAAAATTTTGTTCAGGGTATACTGCATGCAGTGAAGCACCCAATGGCTATGAAGTACTCAGTGTATGATTAGACCAAAATCAATGTAGGAAAGAGATCGATGAAAGGAACTTTATGAATTGATTTTTATGGAGGATTTATATATACAAAAGCCCATCTTAATAGGTGGAGTAAAATTGCACTAACCAATTACGGAGTATTTTGCTGCAACTTTTAGAACAATTTGAGCAATATGCCTTCTCCTATTTGTTATACAACAACAACAACATTACCCCAATGCCTCAATGGCTCCCGCCCATTGCGGGGTAAGGGGGTTAGATGTACGCTGTCTGACCCAAACGTCTTAAATTGTTCGTAAAAGGGACCGGAACAAAAAGAAAATTCACTACGCAATTGTTTTCTTGACATTACAATCTCTAATTCTCTTGGTCTAAGCTCTGTGACATTTTGATGAATCCTGAACCCCTTTTTTCCGTTGTTGCTAGTAACTGGAGAATAAAAGTACTTAAATAACAGATCTTTTTGTTAGAATATAGAATGTCTATGTTGCTTGACCCCGGAGAATTATTTTGACATTATACGGTACCAACAAAGATTTTTCTTCTTCATTCCTTCCTCTTCCGGATAGTAGCTCGAGAGGGGAAGGAAAATAAAATTCTATTTTTTTGGTTTAGATGAAGGGGACATGACTGATGTGAGTAGGGAAAAAAGTTTCCCTGGTTTGGTTTGCACATGGAGTGAGAAGATAGAACAAAATGACTATTATAGTTCTTTTGGTTTGCAATGGGATTAGGTACAAGGGTAATACCGTAATACTCCCTCCATCCCTAAGGCTACCCGGTATGGTAGCGGGAAGAAGGGGAAAGCCTATGTGGCACGGCGGGACGAAGGGGAACACCCCCCCCCCAGCAGGAATGGGATGAGCGCGTTCCCCCTTTTCCCCGTTTCTTTTATGTTGTGTTTCTTTTTTTTCCGTTCGTTCTTCTCGTTTCTTTCTTCTTTTTTTGGTTGCTTCATTTTTCAATTTTTTAAAGTTTGTACTGTTTAAATGTATTTTATGCTTTTAGTTTGATTAATTTAAATAAAATTAAGTGTTAAAAAGTTAAACAGAGTATTAAAAAATGGAAGTGAAAGGGGAAGAGAAGGGGAACCACACCCCTGAAAAGGGAAGGGGAAATAAAAGGAAAAGATGACGTGGCTTCAAGTCTACAGAAGGGGAAGAAGGGATCGATACCATATAGCCTTAAAGAGTATCACTTTGCGGTTAACAAAGCTTGACTGGAACTATTTTTAGTTCAATTTATTTTAATATTGATGTAGTAATGAAAAAATAAAATATACCCCATGGTATATATGTATTAAGTAGTATTTAAAAACTACACCAAAAGATCTACAAGACAAAACAAGAAGTGACATGAGTATTAATTTGTCAAATTATCAATGAAAATATGCAAAGAAAGATGTGAATCACCATTTCATTCTCCCTCCATTCCCTTCTGCATTTTTGATGGGTCGGTTTAAAAAATCTCTCCCCTCCGTTCCCTTCCAACCAAGCACTACTCTAGATTTTTTTTTCGTCATGGTTTTTCATTTGTGCCGCCTTTGCAGGTCTAGCCACCAGTTTCTTTGGTGTGCTTTTTCTTTTTCAACCAATGGCCAACTCAAAAGGTACATCTATACATACATTTTCATATTTGAAAAATACACCCATAATGTTGTATTAACCCATAATGTTGTATCCTTGTATGGAGTATGGACCTGACACATGACATTGTGAGTATATTTTCTTAACCTGACAATTGACACTACAGTTCCGGTTCCCTTTTTTCCCATCAATGTATGATTTTTACTCTGGATTTTATGCTCTCTCCATCCCCAAATAAGAGTTATGGAGGGAATTACGAGGTACAATGAGGTGTTTTTTAATTAGATCTATTTAAAAATTGGTATAGAAATAAAAAACAAAATTTACATATTTATAAAATACGTCAAACGTTCTACAAAAAGTAAACAAAAGTTATTGTAACGCTAGAATAGTAATTGTAACATTTATTTGGGGAAAGAGGGAGCATCTGGCAAGAATACTGACTTTTTAATTTTTCCAATATGTAATTGTTGATTTTATAATAAATTTTGCAACGAGACATGACTATAACAACTATGTCAACTCATAGTTGTCTTGAAATATTCTATGAAAGTGGAGAAAATCTATGGCATGTGGGTTTTGAATTTTCATCTCATTATTCCTTCTTTAGGAGATTAAGATATGGCTCTTTAAACTGCTTCTTTTAAAAGTGAAGTAGTAGTTAGTCAATGCAACTTTCTACGCTCATCATGGGTCACCGGAAACAATGTGTTCTATGTTTTAAACATAGGGATCAGGTTCTTGAGCCGGGAGGTCTCTTTGGAAATAGCCTCTCTACTTTCGAGTAGGGGTAAGGTTTGCGTACACATACCCTACCTAGACCCTACTTTTGTGGGATTCAACTGGGTTGTTGTTGTTTGAAGATTAAGATATGTAAGACATCCAGAACCAAACCTTGCAACTATGCTTTTCGCATGATTTTATAGTATTAAAGAAAGGTAGACAATTAATTGTATATAAGATATTCATGCTGCCAACCCAACATAGTTGGGATCAAGGGGATGAGGTGACAATCATGACACTCAAGAGTTCAGTGTGGTTTTAGGTTCAAATTTAATTATGCTGAGACTAAAATATGCTACGTATAATTCTGGGATCAAAACTCTTTTTCAAACCAATACTGAAGGTTTACGTACACATCGTTTGAAGACAAAAACGATTGTAAAAAGATGATAACAATTTTCATATATCACTATGGACTTCTTACAGGATCTTTGCCAGATATTGGAGAAGCTAATGACGCATATGTCAACGGAAACTATCATATTTATGCAGTTTTCGCTGGTCTAAGCTCATCTGTTGCTGCTGGAATCAGCTACTGTCTTATAAGGGCAGGAGCTAAAAAAACTGATCAACCAGTGTAAGACAACTGTTTTCTTCAGTGACCCTACCGGCACTTTCATCTGTCTGAAGTTTTCTATCTTTTTAGAGAACTTAAAGAGTGTCTTTTTGGCTTGCAACATAAGCTTTTCCTTGCAAGTTGCATTATTAAAGCTTGTTTCTTTTGAGCATTTAAAATGGCCCACGTTTTTTTCCTTTACATTTCCTAAAGTACTCTTGTGTTCGTAGTAACATCGATTTGCCAGTAATCAACTCTATTTCATTAACATGGAAGAGATTTGGTAGTTAGAGGACATCACCCCTTGAAGAGACTGAAAGTCTTATGAGTTGTATCTGTCAAGTTGTTTGTGGCTTAACAAGTTTGGCTAACAAAGTATTTTGTTTTTTGCATTTGTGTTTCTGCCCTTTCTGGATATTAATTTTCAGGCTCACGGTTTTCTCATTTGGTCTGTTTGCAAGCCCTGCTGCTGGAATTTGTACCTTCGCCTTCGAAGTAAGAACCTTGTTCATGTCTATGCTACTTTACAACAACAGACCTGGTAAAATCCCACACAAATTAGGGTTTGGGGAGGCTGAGTGTACGTGGAATTTACCCTTGCTTGGAAGTAGAGAAGCTGTTTCCGAGAGATCCCCTGATTCAAATACAAAAGTACAGGCAAGCAAAATCATAGTAGCACTAACGAAGTATGAGTAAAGAGTAAAGAGTATAGAGAGTGAATTAAAGAGTAAAGAGTATTGGTCGGGTAAGCCTATGCTACTTTGTAAATTAAAATTACCAATTGTTAGTGCTAACTACTTTCAGGAAGAAAAGTGGTGCATTTGCATACATAAGAACTTTGTAGCGAACATGTCATTAGTGTCTAAAAGTTAATATTTACAACCTACCCAATCTGAAATAATATTTGGAAGTAATCAAACATTTGTTAGTGCCTACAGGGATTTTTCGATGCTGCCCATGTGGGTAGTGCCCGCATGGTGTTCGGGACCATTAGAACACAGTTGCACAAACTAACACACCAAAAGGAGGGGAGAAGGGGGAGTGGTAGAGAGAGGGAGAGGAAGTGGGAGATAGAGATATAACAGCGGAAAGCCCATCAGCACACGACCCATATGGGTAGCATCTAACAACCCATGTTCTTAGAGTGGGACAGATAATGACTAGGGCACTAGGCATTTCAATGCATAGAGAGTAGAAGATGCTCTGTGTATTTTTTTTTACATTCATTCTAGAGTTTATAACAGGTTTAGCATGACTTGTGCTCTAAGTACTAAAAGGAAATTGCTTTCTCGTTTCAGAACCAAGTGTTCTCTTTAAATGCGCCAAACTGGTGCTTTCTTGAATAAGCACGAAAGTGATTTTTCACTAACAATGTTTTGGGCTAAAATCATTTTTTTCCTCCATAAAACATTTAGTTTCATTGAAAACAAATCAGTATGAGATGCTTAATGCCAAACACTTTTTTGGTAGTCATGATTAAACCACTTAATTCGTTATTACTGGTGCAGAACTTTGTGCTTCCCAGTTGCTATTCTCTGCTACTTATGACTGTATTTGGTGTGCTGGCTTTCTTCGCCGAGGTTCTATAACTTGGCCATTGTTCCTACACATTTGTGTTGAAATAATTTCTATCAGACTATGGGTTTTACAGCACTTGCCTGTTCACAGATAACTCTAGCGAGAGGACTTCAGCTTGAGAAAACCAGCAGAGCTGTCAATATACTCTATCTTGAGGTACCAATCCCATTCATTTGTTTTGTAAGCTAATGCACTGTGTTTTGAAGGAACTAAATGAAATGGTGGGATCAAACCACACATTGTTACTTTTCATTTGTTTTCCCAATGCTATAGCTACGGAAATAAACTGAGTGAGAAGCAAACACAGAGGATTTGAACTCTAAATTGAGTGGTCCTTCAAAGAACTTTCTTGATATGTGTTTAAAATAAGCTTTTCACTAGCCAAATGTCACAAGCTAGAGCCCAACATATCTCACGGAGCTCGTGTGGCGTTCTGAGGTCCCTAATACCTCGCCAACCAAACAATACAGCTCAGTTCTCCCCCATTACAGCCAAACAATCCTTATAAGCGCACTTGTTTTATTGTTTACGCTCTCTATTTACAATGGGAACCCTTTGGCAATCCAGGAGAGCACTCATCCACGGAGTATTTGTAATTGATGGAGCTGCCTAAACAATGCACTCTCATTACACCTAATTGCACCTTAATATGTTTTTGTTGTGTGGCTATTCCATTTCAGGCAGCTCTCTCACAGTTGTTACGAATGGGTTATTCGAGAATTGCATCGCTTGGTAGCATAGTTGGGTGTTCACTGATTTTGATTTCAACTAGTTTCACGATGTTGTATTGCGGACATGATTGAGTCTGAACAAGCAATGCACTTACAGGCGGGTCTCAACTCCAAGGTGATATTCTTTTACATTCTTTGTTGTATTGATTCTTGATTGATTCAATGTCAAGTGATATAAATAATGATGTGCATAATGTGCATCTGGATGTATTCATTTGTGTACTCTTCCAACAGCATCCAAGAAACTTCAAAATTAGTGTCAATGGTTTGTTTGAGATGGGGATGTGTTTTATTTTTCGTTTGTTCAGTTTAGATTTATCACTCATTAAGTTGGCTGAGTGTTGGGTTTTTGTTAGATGCCAAAAATGCCCACTTCACCAAATGTCATGGTCGTGGTTTGCATTATTCTAAACAATTCTCAAGTGAAGACAACTCTATTTACATGCTTACAAACTGAACCAATTGAACCTCATTTGCAAAAAAAATTTACTCTCTTCAGTAAATACACCACATTTTTCCTTTATTGCTAGGCCCTAGTGACATGATAAATACATTTTCTAAATATAAAATTTTTTGGGTGATCCTCTAATATTCTCCAAGAAGCAGTGCTATGTAAGTTCATGCGATAATTTGCCGTGCTTGTAAGTATATATAACTAAGGCCAAGAGATGATTGGTAGCCACTAGAGAAAAGAGCAAATAGAGAATTAAGAGCACAAAATTGACAACATGTCAAGTCTCCTAATCTACTTGTAATAAACAATTTTCTCAGAAATCAAATGATAATTTCTCTGTTATTGCCTCTCCTCTACACCATTGGCGTTTGCATAGAGCTCAAGAGTCTGTGAATCCTTTTACCCGATCATCTGGTGTGAATATATGGCGGCCTGTAGGAGCAACAATGATACAAGCATGATTTGTTCTTCATAATTCTAATCCCAGGAGGATTCTCAATGGAACGTGCAAGAAACCAACTATGATTACTGGATTCACCAAATCATGAGCCATGAAGGCACAGCACTTTGATTACTTGATTTTCAGTTGAATCTGAAATTCAATCCAAAAATCCATGTTTTAAACTGGTTGGTTATCTATAAAGATATGAGTCCCAACTCCCAAAGTAAATAACGAAGAAGCTAGCTTTTTATTTGATAACATGATTTCACTTTAGTGGAATAAAAGGGGGTTTAGGTCTCTCTTCAGCAAAAATCATGTCTTGGATTCTCTTACAAATATTTTTAATGTGTCCATATTAAGCTAATCCACAAACAACAATATTACAAAATCAACAAAAAGGTAATTTCCTAGATAGAATCATACACAGATACACTCTATACCCCTCAACGTGATTTGAGTAAAACACAAATCCAACTTTGGAATTGGTAAAATTAAAAGATGATAAAAAAGTAAATATAAAAGTAAAATAAAAATAATTAACAACGTTTTAAAAGTTCATAAATCGAAAAGTAATAACATATGGAATATTAATACTCCGTAGAGAAAGATGGAGAGGAGCCTCAGATAGTCGATCTGTCCACAGTAAATTTCAGACGGTAATTCCAGAATAAGTATAAAGAATCCTCATTGGCTTTTTCTCCGGTCAAATGTAACAAAAATAGTAAATAAAAATATCAAATCATGAAATGTTATCGCATGAAACGGCTCTACAGAGGAATAGAATATATCCATCAGTAGCTTCCTATATAATGCGAAACCTCTTTGATTTTGGTTCGTTCGTAGCATCGCCGGTCAATGCTCGGAAAAGCTACCGGCGACGTGGCACGAACCGTTTTAATTCACATAAAACACAATATATCCATCTGTCGTTTTTTATTCCATACCAATAATTTAAAAATAACTTAAATCAAATATTGTAAAACGCAACAAAAACTTTATTTTTAAACAAAGGAAGTCAAAGTTATCAAGAAATAAGAAAACAAATATAATCAATTATGGGATATAATAAAAAAAGATTGCAGTTCAATATAATTTCATAAAAGTCCAGTAATGAAATATGAATCTTTGAAATTAGAGGAAGATGGAGAGAAGCCTCAGATAGTCGATCTGTCTTCAGAGTAAATTTCAGACGGTAATTCCAGAAAACGTATAAAGAATCCTCATAGGCTTCTCCGATCGAATCAGACAAGAAATCGTAAAAAAATCACATCAAGAGATGTTATCGCACAGACGGCTCTACAGAGGAACATATCATCCATCCATAGCTTCCTATATAATGCGAAAACACTTTGGTTTCGGTTCGATCATAGCATCGCCGGTCAATGCTCGGAAAAGCTACCGGCGACGTGGCACGAACCTTTCTAATTCACATCAAAGGCGAAATCGGTACAAAAATGGCATAGATTGAAAACAAAAACCTCAGAGACCCTTTCCAAATCACGCACAGCGGCAGTGGAGGGCGGCGAATTACCGAAAAGAGTACAAAACAATTTACGGGGGAGATCGCCGCCGGGAACCACCGCCGCGGTTTGGAGTGTCATACGGCACTTCCTATCTATTTTTTGGGAATTCTTCCTCATCGGTGTAATCAAAACATATAAGCACAAAATCGAAACCCTAACCCTAAACCCCAATGGGAAGATCTGGTTCAAAGTCGATGAAGATCGTGGGAATGCGATCGCTTATATAGACATGCGCCTTGCCCAAATGTCTAAGCCCTAATTTTGCTACCACCGTCTTGTATTGTTGGGCCTTGAGAATGAGGTACTAAGCTGATCCCGAAATTTTTCGAAATAATTGTGATTACTAAATTGAAAAATATCAAATTCATAAAATAAAAAAAAAGTGTATCGTACCAAATAGAATGATCAATTTGGTATTTGGGGCTAAGTATGTATATATATTCATTCCAATATTACCGAAATCAAAACCACACCATTTCGAACCATACCCAACCAATACCTCAAGATCGGGATCAGTATGATGTAAAATATCATACTAATCCAAAATATTTGGTATGGTATCAGTACGAATCTAATTCCGTACTATACCGTACCACATTCACCCCTAAGAATGAGTTTATTGAAGTTTAAAAAACTCTAGCACTGCGTGAGTCTGCTTACAATTACTTAAAAAGTTGTGCCTCAAATTGTACACCGCATATATACATCTTTATTTTGTATCAATGTGATGTTGGGGTGATGGTTCACCCAAGCACAAAATTGGAGTGCAGAAATTTTCGATCGCATTATAATATTGTGTTAATATGAACCATCGAAATGTTAGTGTATAGCTTTGGTGTACAATTTGGGGTACATTTAATTTCATGGGGGTACCTCTTGCATGGTTCCCCTTATCTGAGAACTACATTTTTTATTCTAATTAACCGTGTTTGATTAAATTTGTATTCAATTTATTTGATTAAAAATAAAAAATAAAAAATATGTTACTTAAAGTAAAAAATCGCATAAAAGGTTTTGTAAAATAAGAAATGATACGACTATATTATATTGCGTATTGTAAGATAAATAGTGAAAATAAACAAACAGAATGAATGAAATTTGATTGGATAAATATTTTATGTGATTTTTAAGTACTTGACTTTATTTTATTTAACATAAATCCGCTATTTATAATAACTACATGATTGACCTAATTATGAGCCCCACTAACAAGCTCATTAGTACTGAATCGGGAGTCCGAGACAACACAGAAAAAATAGACCCTTGTCTCATAATGAAATAAAATCTATCAATTAATTTTTTAAACATTAATTAACATTACAGTAATAAGGATAATAAAATGTCAACTTCATATGTAAGGAGGAATCAATCAATTAATTAAAAATCATACTACAAATGACGATGATGGTCTTGTTGGATTACAAAGTCCGTATTTGATTCTCATATCATAAACAGAAAGAGAAGGGAAAATTAAACCAATAAAAGAATAAACCAAATAAATTAGAATTTACTATTGGAACAACATGGGAAGAATATATGGCTTTAAATCAAACAGAGAGTGGGAGAGGGGCAGTAGGCATTACTGGTGGTCTGTATGGACCAACGCCCATTGGTTGTCTGATCATTCTATCTTCATTCGCAACAGCAGAGGCAGCAACATAGTAAGCAACGAGGAAGAGCCCGTGAATGAAAGACATAATCCCTCCGACAACGAGCACGTGTCTGCGCGACAACCCGCATGTCTTTGTTGTTTTCGAGTTCGACACTGTCCCTATGACCAGCAATGTAAAGGCAATGCAGCCTGTGATCCTGGTTCCAACAATAGTGTAGTTTAAGTTGTGGATTGATTAAGGTTTATAAATTGTCTATTCGTCACAAATGGGGCGGATATAGCCAAAACGGGAGTGAATTTGGCAACAGCCAGAAAAGGTGTGGGAACTTTTAACCATGCCGTTCTTTACGACAAGGAGGCGAAAATTATATATGGGCGCGAATGTTAGAATATAATTAAGAAACATTTCCTGGGCCACAATCACAAGCTTGAGCTTTTGGTTGAGTTAGTTCTTTGACATAGTATCAGAGCCTTGTTGGCTAAGAGGTCACGGGTTCGAAACTCAGCGTCACTCAGTTTTAAAAAGTTAAGGTTTCACGTGTAAAGCTCGTAAAAAGACTACATTTGCACGTGAGGGGACTTGTTAGAATATAAGAAACATTTACTGGCCATAACTACAAGCTTGAGCTTTTGGTTGAGTTGGTTCTTTGACAGCGAATGATATGATTGATCTAATTAGTAATTACCAAGAGAAGACTTGGGAAGCCGCGGCTAGTTGCCTATTAGGAGAGGCGCGCACGAGCTCAGCTTTGGGACTTAAGCAAAAACAGCCACACAACATGTTAGCAAACACATGAGCTGCTCCCAAAAGGACGCAAGCTGCGAACCCGAGCCCGTACGCCTTGTAGCTTGGTTCCCAGCACTCCACTATCAACACTTTCTCGAACGGCATCTGCGCGTGCCACACAGACAAAACCGTTCAATAACTGTACGTTTTCTTGACATGATGAAGACGTATTTAGATGTGTGATTAATGTTGTAATGTAATTAATCTTGCCTTGTTTTGGGCCCTCTGTGCTAGGATGCCGAGTATCCCAGCCGCGATGTCCATGCTGATGAAGAGGAAGCAAATCCAGGTTGCCATTGTCGTTGCCATCCTCGTTGTCATCGTTGTCATCATCATGTTTGCCACCAAATGGTAAAATGGTGAAGCTAAAGATGATGAGATTGAGGCCTACAAACTGTGCACTACTATTTGTGTGTGTGTATATCTATATACTGTGTTTAGGTGAAAGGGGTAAGAGGGCAAAAGCAATTGGATTAACTGATTTTTTTTAATGGGAAAGCAAGAGAATCTTTTTTGCATTGTTTTGTGGGACTACTTCAGGTATAGATTTCCATTTGTGAAGAGAATTGCACCATAGGGAGCCTCACATTGTTAGCTGTAAATAAGTTGGTTTTCACTTCAAATGTGGCAGCTTGTGAGATTCCTTGCCTGGGGCATCAGCAAAGCAGGGTATCTCCACTAATATATTTATGTGTATGACTCTTTTCCTTCCTCCATAAGATTCCAGCCTTTGAGGCACTAGAATTGTTATGAAATTCTTAAGTTATATGGTTTAAATTTTCAAATGTACTCCGTATATAGATAAGAAAAAACTAATAGGAATTATACAATTCTTTTTTTTTAAAGGGAAGTAGAAACTTAATACTCAATGTTAAAAAAGAGTCTTTAATACTGTAATTTCTTCCAAATGATTGCATAGATTTAACATATGGGCACATTCTTATATACTCCTTCCGTCCCAAAAAGATTGCCACAGTTTCACTTTTTTGGTTAAATTGTGGCACTCTTTGACAATGAGTTAAATATAGTTTAAAATAATTAAATATTACGGAGTATAAAAATTTGATATTTCAAAATTATATTTTAAAAAAAACTTAATTTTACTAAATTTACATTATAACTGAATACTCCCTCCGTTTCTTAAAACAGTTCCTCTTTCTTTTTTTTTTGTTTTTCCAAAAACACTTCCATTTTTGTAAAGAATGGCTAATATATCTAAATTAAGTTTTTACAATATACTCCATTCAATTTGCATTGATATAATAAGTCATTTAAATGACTTGTCTCTCTTTTTTTCCTCGATAATAAGAGTATAATTAGAAGGTCAAACTATGAAATTAAATCTCTCCCAAGTCAAAACAGGAACTGTTTTAGGGAACAAGGAAAGTACATTTTTTCCATTATTTGCGGTCAAAGTATTGCACGGTTTTATCGAAAAAGTAAAACTTCCTCTTTCGGTTAGCAAGTCCAGACAAGCATCTTTGGTTAGTTTCCTGAATCTTTCGGTTGCTTCGTAATCCACTCTTATCATATGGTAAGCGTCATTAGCTTCTTCCAGATTTTAATAAAAAAAGCAAATAGATATTTTTCGTTATGGAATTTGACCCAGACCTAAATTTGAAATCAAAATTCAAGTTCTCAAACATATCATAATTGAAATGTATATCGATGAGGAAAAAAATACAAATAAAACAATTATTTCAAATGGAAGTGAAATCATAATACTCATTATAAAAAAAGTAAGTATCCAGCAACATTAGGATCACCGGCTCCAATTAGAGCACCTAGAGTGGTAAATTTACAAAATTAATGATTTCTATCTCCAGAACACCTCACCCAAAAGCGGCTACTACAGAAGGATGAGTCCGAAAACATCCCCCGACGGGGCTGAGGAGGTAGGCCAAGTTCGTAGGCCGATGAGAGCATTAAAATATTGTTTTAAAACCCAAAATATTGTTTTAGGCCGATGAGGCCATTAGTAACATTAAAATATTGTTTTAAACTCAAATCCTAATTGCAAATAGAACAATGTTATAGTCACACTAATTCTCAACCCAAAATTTTGCATTGTGGGTATTGTTACGCTGTTAGTTTGTTTGTGGTTATCTTTGTCAAACATCTATACATGTAGAAAATGTAACTGGTTTTTTAAAGGAATCCATTTGTTTAGTTTTTGTCCACGACCTCAAAATTATGCGGAGCAACACACGAATGCTACACAACCTTAGTCATTGAGCAAAACACGGAAATTTTTTTTTAAAAAAAATAGGCGAAATGAATGCCAATACTCCAAGAGATACAAGATTTTACAAGAATATATTTAAAAATTCCTTAATTATCACCAACAATTATAGAAGTTTTACACTAACACAAGAATGATCAAAGAAATTCTAAGTACCGCAACCTGTAATTTTCTCTGTCAAACCTGAAATAAGGAAAACAAATGAATACACCACATACAATGTTAGCTAGCCATAAACTGATGAGAGATCACTAGACTGCAATAAAAAGGTAAGCGAAATTTGAGATAGTCGATAAACACAATAGAAAGATCAAAGAAGTTTTATTACTCCGTAATCACATTCTGGCTCGCTAAAAGAGTATAATAATTTGTGTACATTTCATAAGATTTAGTAAAAATTTTCCATCATCTCCGATGGAGCCAAAATTTCACCTGTTTTTGGCTTTGGGGTGTGATGGAATAAATCAAAATGGATATCTAAACTATTTGCGCTTCTTTAATTAATGAAGTAGCAGTTAGTCAAGCAATGCAACTTTCTACGTTGAGCCGGGGGTCTCTTTGGAAACAGTCTCTCTACTTTCGAGTAGGGGCAAGGTCTGCGTACACACACCCTCCCCAGACCCTACTCTTGTGGGATTTAGCTGGGTTGTTGTTGTTGTTGTAGTAAAAAGGCGAACAATATAGGCTAAATCTAACAGTCAAAGAAGTCTGTGTTCAAATGAGAGTGCTAAAGCATGGGTTAGAAAACTTGGGTATAAAGCTCTATTGCAAGAGGAAAACACAAAATACGAGCAAGTGCAAAAGGGTAATTTTCTGTTTACCTTTTGGCCACCTCCAAGCAGGAGTTTTGTTGCCTTTAAAAATTATACCTGAAATAAGAAATTCACGAAATCAGATTGAAACATGATGAGAAACAATAGAGACATTTACCTGTATCATAAATTTCCAAAATGTCAAGTAATTTGAATAATCTAAAACCCAAAGAAGTTTCTAAACTTTTCAAAAATTAATAATTTAAAGCAGATGCATGTCATAAAAATAGAACTCACAAAGTTTGCATCAGACTCAAACATCCAAATCCAGAAAGGAAAAAAAACCAGATACAAGAGTATCACTTTTGTTTTCACAAGTCCAAAAAAAAAACAAATAGACAAAAGGAAGAAGCTTAGAACTGCTAGAAGCAAGCTCATAATCCTCATTCGGTAATGATTTATAAGCAACAAAACAAAATTTTGGCTAGGTTTCCCAGGAAAGAGCAAAAGCTGCTGCTTTTTAATCAGTTTTTGCTAATAATTTTACTCTGTATTGTTAATACTTAATAGTAACTTTTATAGGAAGTTAGTTTTTACTGATTTGGTCTTGCTTAGAGGTGGGTTCTTTGTGTATTTTGTTCAACATTTGGGTGATCAATATATTCGCATTTGGTTCAAACAAAACCTTTATAGGAAACCTAGAAGCAAGTTCCAAACTTACAAATTTTCATTTAGGAATAAATACCAACAAAAAATACCCAAGTTTATAGCATATTTTAATTGCACTGGAAGTTTTACATGTGCATGCTTTGATTGCTGCTTTTTGACTTTTAAACATAGAATTTAAATCTAGAAGGAGATCTACTCAAAATGCATATGCAAAGCATTTGACATTTCGAATTCAAGTTTTAACGGGCCTATTCCATTTAAATGTTAACTCCCTTAACTTTAAAGCCTATCCATGTTCTCTTTGCCTTGGTTTTAGCTGAAGACAATCTTTTGATAATAGGAACTTAAATACCTTTAGCTGAAAACTACATTCTGATTTGGACACAAAATTTAAAAAGGAAAAAAATGAACACACATTATCATACACTCAATTGCATAATAATAATAAAGTTGTACAGGCTACGAAATTCTCAAGTGTATTCCCAATAAATTAAAACGAGGGGATGTAATTTAAATAGGCTCAATATCTTCTAAGTTTGCCTTATTTTTAGTTTCTCTAACATGTTTGAAATTGGAAAGTGTGTCCTCTAGAAACAAAGAAACGTGTTTGTGTACAATACAAAGATCAATTTAGAGTAACTTCCATAATTGGTCCTTTATAATAGGGGGGTTTCCATATTTAGTCTTCTATTATCAAATATTACCCCCGTAGTCCTTTTTTTAAGGTTACCTTTCCACAAATGGTCCTTTTTTTAATCTTTTGCCATGTTGGTGTTAATTTAAAGACTAAAAGTATAATTTGACATCAACATTATGTCTAGTGATGTGTTCTGATATTGGTTAAGTGGATAACACAAAAATAATGACTATGATTGTGGGCTAGGATTCTGACGAAAGATCACATTAGTTGTCATAAAAAGCGGCTGTAATTCACAAATGACGCAAACGGAACAGCCTTTGAAATTGTGTATGACAAAAAAGATATATTATCATTGTGAAATTACACTTTTAGCCCTCAAATTAACACCAACATGAGAGAAGATCTAAAAAAGGACTATTTGTGGAAATGTACCCATAAAAGAAGGACCACTTGGGTAATATTTGATAATAGAAGACTAAATAGGAAAACCCCTCTGTTATAAAGGATCAATTATAGAATTTACTCATCAATTTATATGAGTTGTATATCAATTCATAACTTCTTATAGAGGCACTACGAATAAACAAACTCGTTGTTCATTTCTGCATAAAGAGTAGTGATTTGATGTATGTTGTCCTACACAGGATTAGATCGATTTGCTCTTTGATTTAGGTTTGGGCATACTCAATGTGAAGTTTATTGTGAACAGAATAAACTCTTGATACCAGCAAACAAGTGCACCAAAAATTCTTACCCCCCCATCTATACAACCAGGAACGGAACCTCAAACATTATCACCTAAAAACATATGCAAATGTCATATTCTTCGCTTTATAATGTCACCTAAATATGAGACACACAGTACATAAAATAATAATAAAAATAATAATAATAACGCCCCCACTTTGTAATGCGAAAAGTAATCAAATACATCTGTAATGAACTTTAAAAAATTGGCACAACACAAGAGCAGTTATCAATCTATGGCTAGATTACTTAACGCCAATTGAAACCCTTGAGCACATTAGTCTAAAATTTTGTCTAAGTTTTCTTCTGGAACAAAACCGTAGGAACTACGTTTCGGACGAGTACT